CCCCCCCCATCATTAAAGATAATCTATGTGGCGAGAAATGCAAAAGACTGCCTGGTGTCATACTACCATTTCCATAGAATGAATAAAGGATTGCCTGATCCAGGAACCTGGGAGGAGTTCATGGAGAAATTCATGAGTGGAAAAGGTAATGAACTGCCACCAGTTGTATAAGAGATTTTGTTAGTTTAAAAAATGCATGACACTGATTTATTTATTTCAGCTGTGGTATGAAATCCAGTTCTGACACTCTACAGGAGGGTATCTATTGAAGGTGTGTCAGTAGCAATTTATCTTCATTCATGGATTTTTATTAATTGATTCTATCTTTGCATTCTCATTTGGGGGACCATGAGGGGTGGAGGGAGCTACTATTTATTCTAGTAACATTCAGAAACGTATGTAACATTTTTCAGGCTTTCTCTCTACTCTGAATTTAAAAGAAACCTGCTTGGAAGACAGTTGGGAAGGAACAGCAATTTAATTGGGTTTACTCTATCTACATATTCAAGAAACCAAGATTTAAATTTGTGTGGAAGTGTGTTGCATGCATTTAAATTAAGGGAGTCTTTACACCTAAATTCATCTGTATAAAAATCAGGCATCTAAACAAAGCCAGTTATCTAACTAAAGACACTCAACCCCAGAAGCTGATTCTTCCCTTTCTGAAAAAGGTACTCATATCCAAGAAAGAAAACTTGCTCAGGTGGATGGATCTCTGCAGTTTTGGTCAGTAAAGCTTCCATAAGTCCTTTATAATTTTTGTCACTATGCAGGTCTAGAAACACCAGTGTCTGGATCAGCAGGAGAGTCTCATGTCTAAAGGAAACCTTGTGTCATCTTGATGGTTGCTGGAGAGAAACAGGCACTTCTGATGCTGTACCAAACATTTAAAACAGAGCATCCCAGAATATTGCAAGCTGGAAGGGACCATTGGTGTCCATCTGATCTAGGGCAGGGCCAGTTAGGACAGCTCTTGCCCAGCTGATCAGAGGAATCACTCTGGAAATGTCTGCTTCTCTCCATAAGAACCATAATGAACCATAAAGGCAGCCTTGATTTTTCATTCAGGGGTACACATTCACATTTGTTGCCCTCTAAAGTTCCATGTGAATCCTGCTCTGAGCACCCATGTGCCTGGGGGATTAATAGAACAAAAGCTGTCATGAGCCCAGAGCACAGCAGTCATGGCCCCAGTGATTCAAAACCATCTAGGAAATGCTCAGACACTGGTTATGAGGGAAACATGAGTGCCACAGATACCTGGAAACAGCTTGGACATTTATAGCTGCTGCTGATGTTACTCCTTTTGCAGTGCTCTGGGGTTCCTGGTATGACCATGTAAAAGGATGGTGGAAGGCAAAAGATAAGCACCGTATTCTCTACCTCTTCTATGAAGATATGAAGGAGGTAAAAAGCTGAATATATGTTTATAGAGCTCTGAAATATCAAAATCCAGTTGATACTACCTACAATCAACAGTTTCCTATCGTAATGCCAGCTGTATCAGTAAATCTTCAGATAACCTGATCATCTCACCCTGACAATAACTGCAGCTTTAACACGAGGTTTGATTTATTTTTGCTTTTACTGACTCTGTATCTTACACCATGTTACTCTCTCTGCAGAATCCAAAGAAAGAAATTCAGAAGATTCTGAAATTCCTGGAGAAGGATGTCAACCAGGTGGTTCTAGACAAGATACTCCGCCACACCTCATTTGAAATGATGAAGGAAAATCCCATGGCAAACTACACTAAGGAGTTTCAAGAAATAATGGATCACTCCGTTTCCCCATTCATGAGAAAAGGTACTGAGGTTTGCTACTGGCATCAATTCTGTCTTCCTGGTTGTGATTCTGTTTTTAAATGAGGCTTGAAGTACAAGCATCTAGTGAGCCATGACTAATGGGCTCTAGGAAATAACGGTAAATTAATCTTTTTTTCTTTGTTTGTTTTTTTTGCTTTGCTGTTTCTTAGGGTCTGTTGGGGACTGGAAGAATCATTTCACTGTGGCACAGAATAAGAAATTTGATGAGGATTATAAGAAGAAAATGTCTGATACCTCTCTTGTTTTCCGCACAGAACTGTGATTATTAGCAGTGGGAGTAATTCTCAATGATCTTCAGCCTTTTCCATTTTATGTATTTTGCTTTTCCTTCACAAAATGCCTGTGTCCCTAAGATTTCAATACCTCTCTTTCACACACCACTGATTTTTCATTATTGTGAGAGTATCCAAATTATGTGGAATTTCAGGCTGGTCTCCCTGAAGAAAATCTCACTTCTCATTCACCCCTCCCACAGCAACCTTCAGCATTAACAAAAATATTTCAGTCATGCTCTGAGTTTTTATGTTTGTAAAACTGCAGTGGATATCACTTGCACTTTCAAATCAACCTCTAACATAAATTAGAATCCAATAGGAAAAAAGCTGCTAAAAGAGGGCATCAGGTGTGGGCATTATATGTTATTCATATGTTGTATGACTATTAATCAAGAAATAACAATAAAAAATTTTAAAGGTGGTCAAGTATAAACAGAGCAACACAAGTGCACAAAGTAGAATCATTTTCTCTCATTTTAAATGCCATTGAGCTGAAAGCAATTAAAGGGATTCGGAGCCTATTTACTTATAGACAACTATTACCAAACCAATTTTGGTTTTAAAGTGCCACCATAGAGCTTGGCACTCAAAGAAGGCCCCAAAAGGTTCCTGCTTAAGTGGGTTTGCACTCTGGCTGTCAGAGGGAAAACATCACAGATAACTGCAGCTGGAGGAAAATATTGTCTTAGCCTCATTTAGTCTGGTTTAGCGTGAAAAATGTTTGCTAAATGGAGGTATTTTATCTTTGGCCTGTGAAGAGTTTATTAAGAAGGATTTATTAAGATTTAATCCAAATATCTAAAATTAATGCAGTTCTTTCAAGGGCATTATTATCTTTCATCAAGTTTGAAAACAAACAAAAAGCTTCCTGTTAAATGTACAAGTTACATTTCCAGTCCCTGGCTCACTGAGTTTCCCCCAGAATGCAGGAGACACTGAAAGCAGACACACACATTTGCTACTCTAAGTGCAAACTTAGGTAACTGAAGGGCTTTAGGTCAGCAGAGATTCCTGCCACAAATAAAGGATGTCTCAGTAAATTGACAACCTGAGAGAAAAGTCATTTGGCAGAGGTGCTGCTGCTCTTCATCACAGAAAGGCTGAATATCAGCCTGGGGAGTTTTCTGCTACTTGTTTGGGTTTTGTTTATGATTAACTTTGATTTGCTATCTTACTATTGCCAGCACGAGGAAAAGGCGTTGCCTGCTCTCTGGCATATTTCCATCCTCTTGGTTGCTCCATGAAACTACATGAGTCAGCTCAGTTTGTCAATCTAATCCCCACTCAGTGTCATAAGAGCCATCAGGAAATGGAAAACATGCTTAACTCAGTAGCTTGGTGACATTTCATGAGCAGTGCTGTACAAAAGGTCGCATAGGTGACCTGTTTGTTCCTCCTTTGAAACCTCTGAATCTATTAGAAGTGCAAAATGCTGACAGTGGCTGAAGCCTGGTCTGAGAGGGATCTGCACAGCCACTGCAAGGACAGAGGCAGTGTATAATAAGGGGCTTGTATCACCTTGGGGAAGTCACCTCTGCTCTCAGTGCCTTGGGTAACTCCACCCAGCAGCAAGTCAGCTGCTCTGAAAAACAGATAAAAAGTAACACAGGTCAGAGTGCAGTCCCAGAAAAAAAAAAAAAAAAAAGGGGGTTAAAAAAACACTGGATTTATGTTTACATAAAAACTGCCTTTTTTATCCTATTAGTATTACCATTATATATATTCAGGGACAGAAATGTTTACATACCGACATGAGGTGCTAAGAGGTTTAATTTATTTTTGCATGAGATACTGTAAATCAGTGAGCACCTGCAGAAGGAGATTGCACATGTCCAGCTAAATTATTTCAAATCCATTTAAACTATTGGCAAGCTTCTGGTGCAAAGGAGTGACTCTGTTTACTCTGGTGATAGAGCTCTGTACAAAGCTCTATCAGACACATGCCCTGACTACCATTCGCAAAATAGCATGGAAGAACCATCAAGCTTCAAAAACTTTAAGAGACAAAGAAGGAAGCTATCTTCTTAGGTAGCATTCAGAGACAGACACTGGTTTCCTTTCCACTAATTTTACTACAGAGGAGCTGTGTCATGCTTGAATTCAAAGTCACTGTTTCTCCAGTTAGTAAACAAAGCATGGACAGGAAGTAGTTTTTATTTAATATAGAGGGTATAGCTATACTGCCCTACAATATATACATTGTATGTTTTTTATAATATTTTATGTCAGTATGTTCACAAAGAGCCTTATCTCCACAGCAAGGTTACTTATTAATTCTGGGATTTTCCAGAGGTGCATTAACATTATACTGTAACCCTGGATGGAAGCTCCTGTTTCCCTCAGGTCCTCCATGAGTGATGCAAGCCCTGCCTCAGGGTAGGCTGTAGGTGGGTGAGCCTAGAGGCACTCAGAGAAAGTTAAGTCCTTCATACTCATAGGATGCAACCAGACTGCACTGCCAGACCCAAAGCCATGGGCTTAGGCTGGATAACAAGGCTCTGCCTGCCCTCCAGACCAAGCACAGGCTTAGGCACTGTGTGGGTGGAGCAGG